CAAACGTCCGCTCGTTGACGATGAGAACAAGGATGAGGACGATGAAGAGAACAAGGAGGAAGAGGAAGCTGTCCAGCCCAGCCCAGAAGAGGAAGCGGACAAACCCTTTGGAGACAACGTCGGACAGAGGTCTTCTCAGGAGCTCTTGCCTGGGCCTGATCAACGATCTGCTCCGAAACCGCACATAGTCGATGTCGAGACGTCTCTCGACTCAAACAACTCCGGCTCACATCCCTCCCTCGCCCGCTTCCCTTACTGCTCTGTCCGCGGCGGCCGAACTGCAGCATGCCGGTACCCAACCATCACTCCAGACATACCCTATGCGGTTGTCGATGGCTCGCTCGCCCTCCACTGCGGCGGATGATATGGTCTACGATGAACCTAGAGCGGAGCACGTGCAGAAGTGACAGGACGAAGGGACTTGGCAGAAGGTCAAGAATACGTTCACGCGCACCGTATCCAATGATGGCCGCTGTTCCCGTACAAATAGCCTCAGCACGTGGGGACGGAGGTACAATACCAATGCCAGTGTCAGTCGCGAGAGCGGCGCAAGCCTCAAGCTCGACCGTGATCTGTCTGTGATCGGGGTCTTCACGATGCAGCAGGCGCACTCGCCCATTGAGGAGATGGCAGTCTCAGGCGTAGCTCTTCTCGTGCGTGGACCATGGTCAACGACTGAGAAGAGTGCGAGCTTTTCTTATGCGACTCCCAACACGCCCATCGTGCTCCCATGCCTCTCCTGCCATTCCTTCACAATACCCCAGAACCCCGCGCTCAGATTACTGAGCGAATGGCAAGGCGGAGCTACGGTCACCTTGACCACTTCCCAACTCAAATCTACCATATCACTACAAAACACTGTTGGGCCATCGTGAGATCGTCATCGCGGATGAGAATGGCCTCCCACATCGCATCTCCCCCACTGGGCCGCCTGATTTGCCTACGACTCCTGCACGTAACTATCGCCCGCTGGCTGGCCCTTGTCTCCCTCATACGTCTGCCGACTTGCATCCCTCCCTTGCCCGCTTTCCTTACTGCTCGTTCGCCCTCCGCTGTGGCAGAGAATATGGACAACAATGAGCCTACAGCGGAGTACGTGGAGAAGCGTCAGGGTGAAGGGACTTGGCAGAAGGTCAAGGGTCCATTTGCGCGCATAGGATCCAAAGCAGGCTGCCGTGCCGCCCATTGAGCTGTCCGCGTCAACATCTGCCTCTGCGTCTATTCTCTCCCTCGCTGTGCAGTACGCGTCCCCTTGAGGCGTGTCGCCCATCCCGCCGGCGTCTTTCGCCAACTTACTCAAGTATGCGGCATATATGCCGTACCCCTCAGTCATGTTTTTTGCACGTTCCCTTCCCTCTAGAAATGCTAAATACCAATCTCCTCCCGCAGCGCGTGAGAGCTACGATGTAGATAACCCGGACCAGCTCACATGAGGCGCCCGCGGGCCGTGTCCATAACGGGACTGGGCGTCTCAGACTTGCGGCTCAATGTCGCGCGTGGTGGCGCGCCCAAGTCGGTACAAGCTGCGCCTCCACACGTTGTCTAGCTATACTCACCACTCCGAGACGACAAATGACATAAACGGTGGCTACGAACATGTCGCGGAGTACATCCCCATTGCCCAGCCCAACTTGCCCTCGCCAAGCTCACCGCACGCGCGAGATGAGCGAGTGCACCGCGCTCACGCACCCCAGGGCCTGGAATTGCTTCGGGGGCCGGAAGGCCATGGGGCACGCAAGAACGAAGGGAAACACAAGGACGCAATGGACGAGGATGGGGAGACAACAATGTTCGTTCAGCTGCGCATGCGCACAGCATACTACATTGAGCAGGACCAAGGCAGCAAGACCGGTGTGAAGCAGACCCAGAAGGCTCCATCGACGGCGACTGCGAGGAGAAGAAGGCTGTCAAAGTGCCGAAGGAGGAACTTGTGCGCGGGTGCAGGTATGGCGCGACGTTCCTGCCCGTCGCTGATAGGGGCTACCCGTGACTGCACACGCGCAAGGGCATCTACGGTTGCTGTTTTCAGAGAAGAAGAACTTGTGGTGCGAGCTCAAGATGGGCAAGGTGTACTACATCTGGGCAAGCCTGTGAACTCAATGCAGCAGGTTGTGCTGTCAAGCGTTGTGCAGGCGATGTACGACAAGAGATTCTGATGTGAGCTCTGTTTCTGATACGAACTCTTTGTTCGCCCTCTGATACTGTACAGGGCATAGGACAAGTAGTACAATTGATCTATATATGAAATGACTACAAGCGTGCATGGCGGCGTGCACGCCGGCGCTCCTTTGACCGAAACAACGCCTCCTTCAAATATTCCCGTCTAGCCTTCGCAGCGTTCAAAGACCGCGCCCCATGGTGCACAGGGACCTCACCGCCAGATGTTTCACTCTCGGATGATGAAGACAGACCTTCACGAATGAATGGATCATCATCTACATCCTCATCGTCAGCACGTTCCTCCGCCTCGCACTCCATAGCGACACTGTGTGCAACGATGCACGCAAGGATCCAATAAGTTGCGAACTTGTGGGTGCGCTCATCTTTGATGTGGATGCGC